GTAAGGAAGCAGTACAATGTTCACAATCTGCAGATGACATGATACTATATAGAGAGAAAATCCTAAAGCCTCCACCAAAAAAAAACTACCAGAACTGATAAATTAATGCCATAAGGCCACAGGATACAAAAATCAATATACAGAAATCTGTTGCAGGGGCACGTGGGTGGCTCAGATTGTTAAGCATCTGCCTTCGGCTCGGGTCATGATCCCAGGGTCCTGGGATTGAGCCCCACGTCCAGCTCCTGGCTCAGCGGGGAGCCTGCTTCTCCCTCTGCCTCTCCCCCTGCTCGTGCTCTCTCTCTCTCTGTATCTCTGTGTCTTGAGTGAATAAATAAAATCTTAAAAAAAAAATCTGTTGCATTTCTATACACTAATAATGAGGCAGCACAAAGAGAAATTAAGAAAACAATCCCATTCATAATTGCACCAAAAAGTATAAAATACCTAAGAATAAAGTTAATCAAGGATGGTAAAAGTCCTATTCTCTGAAAACTATAAAGAATAAGTGAATGAGATTGGGGATGCCAGATACAAAAGTAAGGATATTCCATGCTCACAGATTGGAAGAAACAATATTGTTGAAATGTCTATACTACCCACAGCAATCTACACACTTAATGCAACCCCTATCAAAATACCAACAGCATTTTTCACAGAACTAGAACAAACAATCCTAAAATTTGTATGGAACCAAAAAAAAAAAAAGACCTTGGATAGGCAAAGCAATCTTGGGGGGAAAAAAAGAACAAAACTGGAGGTATCACACTCCCATATTTCAAGATATACTACAGAGCTGTAGTAATCAAAACAGTATGGTATTGACACAAAAATAGACACATAAAGCAACGGAACAGAATAGAGAGCCCAGAAATAAGCCCATGATTATATGGTCAATTAATCTTTTATAAAGGAGGCAAGAATATACAGTGGGAAAAAGGCAGTTTCTTCAACAAATGGTGTTGGGAAAACTGGACAGCTATAGATAAGAAAGAAACTGGACCACTTTCTCACACTATACACAAAAGTAAATTAAAAATGGATTAAAGACCTAAATGTGAGACCTGAAACTATAAAAATCCTAGAAGAGAACACAGGCAGTAATTTCTCTGATGTTGGTTATAGCAACATATTTATGGTTATGTCTCCTGAGGCCAGGGAAACAAAAGCAACAATAAACTACTGGGACTACTTCAGAATAAAAAGCTTCTGCACAGTAAAGGAATCAATAACACTAAAAGATAACCAACTGAATGGGAGAAGATATTTGCAAATGACATATCTGATAAAGGGTTAGTATCAAAAATATATAAAGAACTTCTACAACTCAACACAAAAAAACAAACAATCCAATTAAAAATGGGCAGAAAACATGAACAGACATTTCTCCCAAAAAGACACCCAGATGGCCAACAGACACATGAAAAGATGTTCAACATCAGTAATTATCAGGGAAATGCTAATCAAAACCATAATGAGATGTTGCCTAATAACACCTCTCAAATGGCTAAAATCAAAATGCCAAGAAACAACAAGTGTTGGCGAGCATGTGGAGAAAAGGAACTCTTGAGCTCTATTGGTGGGAATGCAAACTGGTACAGCCACTATGGAAAACAGTATGCAGGTTCCTCAAAACGTTAAAAATAGAATTACCATATGATCCAGTAATTCCACTACTGGGGATTTACTCAAGAAATACAAAAAACAACTAATTAAAAAAGATATATGCACCACTATGTTTACTGAAGCATTATTTACAATAGCCAAATTATAGAAGCAGCCCAAGTGTCCATCGATAGATGAATGGTATATATACACAGTGGAGTATTATTCAGCCTTAAAAAGGAATGAAATCTTGCCATTTGTAACAACATGGATAGACCTACAGGGTATAGTGCTAAGTGAAGTAAGTCAATCAGAGAAAGACAAATACCATATAATTTCATTCATTTGTAGAATTTAAGACAAAGCAAAGGACCAAAAAATAAAATAGATGCACCAAAAAAGACTCTTAAGTCTAGAGAACAAAGTCATGGTTACCAGAGGGGAGGTGGGTGGGGGTGGGTGAAATACGTGATGGGGATTAAGAGTATACTCATCATGATAAGCACTGAGTAATGTATAGAATTGTTGAATCACTACATTTTATACCTGGAACTCATATAACACTGTTAACTATACTAAAATTATGATTTAAAAAATACAAAGAGCTTTCAGAGTAAGCTAACTACAAAGAATACCTGCATAAACAAATATCTGAGATAAATTCAATTGGTATCTCTTGAGTAACTTCTCCTGAAAGAAATAATTTATTTTGGGGGTTAATAAAGATAAGTTTGTTTAGTGTTATTAAATGGCATAAAGGAAATAACAAAATGACTGTACAAGGGAATGTCACACATTCTTTAAAAAGTTTTATTAAGTTTTATGACTCAGTTTCCTACTGTCAATAAAATAACAGACCATCCTTTTTGATAAAAAAAGGAAATTCATATGGAAAATAATTTTTAAAACAATGATAAAAAAATAAGAAAAATCATAAACAACAAGCGTACCCCTACAGGAGTTAGAAAAAGAACAAACAGGGGCACCTGGGTGGCTCAGTCATTAAGCATCGGTCTTCAGCTCAGGTCATGATCCCAGGGTCCTGGGATCGAGCCCCACATCGGGCTCCCTGCTCAGCAGGAAGCCTGCTTCTCCCTCTCCCACTCCCCCTGCTTGTGTTCCTGCTCTTGCTATCTCTCTCTGTCAAATAAATAAATAAAATCTTCAAAAAATTTTTAAAAAAAGAAAAAGAACAAACAAAGCCAAAGCTAACAGAAGAAATAATAAGGACTAGAGCAGAAGGAAATGAAATAGAGACTAAAGAAACAATAGAAAAGCCCAATGAAACCAAGGGCTGGTTCTTTGAAAAGATAAACAAAATTGATAACTCTTTAGATAAAGTTATCAATAGAGGACTCAAATAAAACAAGAATAAAAATATAAATTATTGCTGTAATAAATAAATAAATAAAACCAGAAATGAAACAGAAACACTACTGACACCACAAAAACACAAAGAAGCAGAAGAGAATATTACGAAAAAGTATGTGCCAAATATTAGATAACCTAGAAAAAATGGATAAATTTTTAGAAACATACAATCCTCCAAAACTGAACCAGGAAGAAACAGAAAATTTGAACTGACCAATTACTAGTAATAAAATTGAATCAGTAGTAATAAAAACTCCCTACAAAAGTCAGAACCAGGCCAGCATTACCTGATGCCAAAACCAGATAAAGACTGTACAAAAAAAGAAAACCACAGGCCAATATTTCTAGTGAATATACATGCAAAAATAGTTAACAAAATATTAGCAAACTGGTATCAACTATATATTAAAAGGATCGTTCAACATAATCAAGTGAGATTTATTCCAGGGATGCAACAGTGGTTCAACATTTGCAAATCAATCAACGTGATACATCATATCAACAAGGGAAAGGATAAAAACCATATGATCATCTCTGTAGATGTAGAAAAATACAACAGCAAACCAACTCTCTTTCAACACTGTGCTCACCCATCCTGCAGCTACAGCCCCTTACTTTCTTGTACTCCCCTTTACAGCTCAATTCCTTGAAAGAGATGGAGTGACCACTTCCCTTCTCCCAGTCTTTCCCAACATACTTCACTCAGGTGTTTGCCCGCACTGTACCAGTGAGACAGCTCTGGACAAGCTCTCCAGTCACTTCCAACCATACTAAGCCAAATGCTCAATCTCAGGCCTCTTCGTACGTGATTCTCTGGCAGCACTGGATACAGTCAAGCTTCATCCTCGAAATACCTTCTTTTCTCATATCTGCAACCTCTGGAGTTGCAAGTGTTGCAGGACTCCATACAGAACTTCTCTTCTCTATCTACACATTCTCTGTGATGTCATCCACTCTTGTGGCTTTAAATACCATCTACATGGTAATTTAGTAGAATTTAGTCTGCCCCAAATCAAGCTCATGTCTTCCCAAATCTGTTCCCCCCTGGAGTCTTCCCCAATCAGTAAATGAAAACTCTACCCTTCCAGTTACTCAGGTCAGAATCCTAAGATTCATCCCTGACTTTTCTCCTTCTTGGATAGATCTACATCCAACCCATCAACAAACAGTGTTGGTCTGACTTCAAACTATATGAAGATTGCAAACACTTCTCACCACCTCCACTTCTACCACCGGTCCCAGTCACCCCCAGGCCTTGTCTAGATTATTGCAACACTTCCCTGGTCTCCCTGCTTCCACTGTTGTCTCTCTCTGGTCTGTTCTCAAAACAGCAGCCAGAATGATGGTATTTTAAGTCAGATCATGTCACTCCTGTGCTAAAAACCCTCTAAAGAGTAAAAGACAAGGTTCTTCTACTGGCCTGTGAGGCCTTACAGGAACTGGTCCTCTCCATTTGATTTCATCTTCTGGTGCACTCTCCTTGCTGACTCTGTTCCGGTCACAGTAGCCCTATACCCCACTACTATTTCTCCAACCCATCAGCCACACTGCTGTCCTCAGTTCCTTTTGCCTGAAATTGTCTTCCCTTATGGAGGCAGGGCTCACTCACTTCCCCTAGGTCTCTGCTCCACTGTCACCCCTGCTCAAATGAAAGGGGTCTTACCTGAGAAAATATAAGTAGCAATTCTATCAATCCCTTGCATTCCCTTCTCCCTGATTTTTTCCATAGCACTTACTACCACCATTTGATACCTATTAACTATTTATTAGTCCACTGTCTTTATCTTCTCTCACCAGAATTAATTTCAGTGAGGGCAGCTACACTGTGTTTTTTGTTCACTGCTAGGTCCACGGTCTCTAAAACTATACCTGGTCTGTTGCAGGCATGGACATATTTACTGAATGAATGAAATGCAAGTAAAACTGTGTCCATAAAACTAAGAAATTCACATTAATTTAGTCTTAGAACACTGCATTGGTTGTATCTCTTATGACATAAATTGACTTTCGGGATTTTCTCTTACCCATTGGTTAACACTGCTGATCTGTGCCATGTAGTAGTGTAAGAACTGGGTTGTCTTTTCCCACATCACGTAAGAGCTGCCAAGAAAAGCCAAATCCCAAATGGGTCTCAGAGAGGGATCAATATGTCCATGACTGTCTGAGAGGAAGAAAAAAAAAGGACATTTTCATTATGGCATTTTGGAGACACAATTTCGTATGTTTCAGGAACGTAAGCTCAGCCACATCAGTCCTCTCTTACAGCAAGACCTTGTGCTGGACACGACTTGTTCTTACCTGTTTCTACATCATATGCTGATTTATGTGCTTCAACGTGTCCTGCTGAGTAAAGCTACTATAAAAAAAATTAAGGGCTCTTTGCTGTACCATATTAACGCAAAGTAACAGCTATAATGATACTCAAAGTTAATCTAAAGTCTTCTTAGTTGAGAAGCATTTTAAAATTAGATTGAAAAGTCTATCAGTTCTCTTCTCCACATTACCTTCTGGTCCGGGTCTGCAGTCCTTGCAATGGTCTTTACCAATTGCCAAATGTCTGTCCTCTGATCATTGGCTTTAAAGCTAATCAATGAATTGGCAGTATCTCGGTTACTGATTTTGAACACATGAAGAAATCAAGCGAGTTTTTTCTGTGGTATTGTTTTTGGAACTGCCATCTTTTCATTTTAGCATACATTCATAAAAACCTACTTCATATCAGACACTGCTAGAGGTAGGGATACAATGATAAGAAATTACCTTTTGTGACTTTCAGGAACTCAAATTTTAGCACATAATTAATCTATGAGATAACTGCTCATGGACCATCATTTTATGCAATTTGGTGGAGATATCCTTAGTTTAAATAAAGGCTAAATAATAGTATAATATGTGAAGGATAGGAACAAACTTATTAGGAAACTAATCCTCCTCGGAAAAATAATCTTTAGCACAAATTCTTCTCTGTACGGGTGGAACTTGACTTGGCTGGCTTAGAATGATGGTCGATTCAAGGTGCCGCAAGAGACCCGAAGATGGGTCCCTACCCTCCACTTGCTGACACTGCAGAAACACAGCTGATACCTTCCTCAAGAGGAGGAGGATCAAAATGCTGACAGAGCACAGGGAAGGGAGAGGTTTCTTTAGGCTGGAGAAGTCTGGGGAAAGCTTCACAGAGAGGAGGTTTGAGCTGAGCCTCGGACTCCTGTGGTGTATGAGAGGGTGGGAGTGAGAGAGAGTGAGAGCTTCCTTCATCCAGCTACCCATCACGGGCTTCACCTTACGTGCCACTGTGAGCTCAACAAAGCCCACTGCTAGCAGGCGAGTTTGTTACACGAAATGCTGGGAATAACAGGGACAGCTGAACGTAAAAATGTGGGCAGCACTGCTAGAGAATCACTCAGGTGGCTGGACTTGGGCTGGTTCTTCCCAGGTCTTCAGTCTTTTCTTCTGTAGTGTACTTGGGCTCATCTAAAGGAGGCTTGTAAATTCATTAGAAAAGTGAAAATTGTACTCATCATAAAGACCAAATGACCACTTTTTTAGGGGAAAAACAGTGTGGAGCAAGGATATCCTGAAACGGATTAAATGGTCTCACCTATCAATTGTAGAGAACGTTGCCCTACAGAGCCCAGAGCCCCGGACTGACTACATGTTGAACTGAGGCTGCTGAGATGCGAACTGGCCAATCCAAGGACAGCTCCACAGTTCTGACTCACTTCTGTCTAAAACCAAACCTTTCCAGTTTTAATAATTTTGTGTACGCAGATAGGCTATAAATAGTACCATTATATGCCTCCACTGAACTTAAAGTGACAACAGAACTTGTAAATTGTTAATAAAAAGGTGTCTTCTATTAAAGAAGTTCTTGGAACTTCATGCCACACTAAGTTAGATTGTTACAGAATGATCCTTGTGGGCATGTAGGACTTACTAACTGAACATAAGGCAGTTTACCTTCACTATTAAAAAGTGTCCAAAATCTAGTGATCCCAAAGCAAATATTCAAAGAAAAGGTCTTATATAATTTCTAAAATTTGTCTTAAGGAGAATATATAAAATCTTATTTCCCCAGCTAATGCAAAAGGGGGGAAAATTCCTAAATAACTGTAGATTGTAAGCATCAGTCATTATCCCATTTATTTCAGACAGTACTAAATATAAGCAAATTCTACTACAACGTAAGATTTTGAATTATCCCTCATAATTCTTTGGAACAGGATTTAAGCTGAGTTGTCAAAGAATTACTATGAGAAACATCCAAGCTTCTGAATTCTAGAAAGGCAAGGAGCAGTATTCTGCCTGCAGGTTTTTAAGACTACTTAGTCTCGACAAATGGAGGGGGCACAGATGCACTCAGGAGTGGAGACCACAGGTCCCGCCATGTGGACATGGGTCCGTTACAGTCGCTGGTAAATGTCCCTCGCAAATGAGGGAGCTGGAGAGAGTGTGGGATGTGGAGTGCCACAGTGGCAAGATGTCAAGTTTAATACCCAAGCACAAGTCCAGAGATGACTTTTGTGGTTTTGCAAATTGGATTTGCCAGTAAGTGCTGAGTCTCACTCTGCCCACACACGCACTCAATAGTACTGAGCATAAGAAAAAATGAGCCCTGCTTCACTTCAGCTGAGTCACTTGGGAGGGCAGGGCTCATTTCTTATTAAAGACGGCACTGCTGCCCATTAGCTCTTGACCTAAATGAGACAAACTTGATTCCGCGGCAGCCTCCCAGCAAGGCCCGGAGACAGCTGGCTCACCCAGCCCTGCACCCAAGTCTGCAGTGGGCCCCGTGGGGCTCTGGCGATGGTGTCTCATCACGTAAGTTTCCAAGGCCAACACCACAAATCTTTAGAAATGTCGCCTCAGGCGCTGGACTCAGCCCTGAAAACTGCCCCCCCTCCCCTGCCACGTTCTTATCCTGTGGCAACTCTACCTCTTCTTTGAAGGTTGAGCTCTTGCCCTGACCCTTGTCTGGGATGGGAAGTGGGGAGATTAAAAGGGCACAGAGAGCTCTTGATGGAGTTACCATACTGTCCTGGAGATGAAGAACAGGAAATTGAGACTTCTGAGTTCTGTTTGAATAATGAGGTGTACCACATTCTATAGATGAATTAAAGTGCCACTTTGGGGATAAAAATGTAAATGATAATTCTATTTAAGATTCAGTCATTACATACATTTCCTAATACAGAAATTCCAGACACTAGTTCGTACCAGGTATGCTGACTACATCCAACGGGGTTTTAAGTTGCTTCATGTGCGTGTAAAGCAGGTAATCCTCTTGTTGTCTTTTGTTCTTCTCGATGAGCCGTGTACAAGTTACATTAATGGCCGGTCTGGGTTTCTGATTCCTGAAAAACACTCGAGCAGAACATTTCCCCAAACGTTCCTCACCATCCTGAAATAAAGATTTTGGAATTAAACAGAATGGCTACTTATCACTCCCCACCGACCCCAATTACATAGGTACACACAGGATTGAGAAGTTCCTCGTATGTGGCAGGATGCATTGGCATCAATATAGAGGCAGTGGTCTTGGCTTTGTGGAAAGTGATTTTTGTGCTCACAGCTGAACACAACAGTCCTTCACTATTTGCTGTCATTTAAACTCCTGCTTTCTGACGATGCCCTTATACAGTAATGCTGGGCATATTCGAAAGAAAGATAAGATTGTTGATGTCTGTTGAGTACTGCTTGGTTCAAACCTCAAGGACAGTAGGTACTTTACTCTCCACTGTGGACCAACACAATGCTCAGCTGGACCTCACACTTGCTAACTTGAACCAGAAGATGAAGCTGGTTCCCATTAACAAAAGTGACAACATCCTCATACTGCCTTATGAATTCAGTTCTCTTATACCAACTTTACAGATTAAGATACTGAAGTCTAAGGAGGAACCTACTCCAAGGTCTCACAGCTAGTAAATGCTAAGCCCGGAATTGAGCTCACGTCTGTCTGACACCAAAGCCTGGCTCTATACTAACTCCATCTCTCTACTCCAAGATCTCATCTGGAAGGAATGGAGGCAGATGTCACCCAAAATAGACCAATCCAAGGGATGTTTGTTTGCATTTGTATTTAAATGCAGACATACTGAGTATTCTGGGATCACCCTCGCTTTTCTTCCAATCCAGAGACACCTGGAGGTAGACAACTGGATGCTTCAATGCATGACTCAACCATAGGACAGTGCTTCTCCATCCTCATAGGTCACAAATTCCTTACCCCAACAACAACGACAACAAAAAGCCAGAATCTATTCCCAGAAAGGTGCACGTATGCTCAGACCCTCACCACTGAGCCTAGAATTGGCGGAAGTTCGTGGGCCTCTAGTCATGGCCCCACCCAAACCCACCCATGGGCCCCTAGTTAAGAACTCCTGTTACCAAGTGGTTGATTGAGCAGTTCAGTTCTTTTCACTTTTACAGTCATTGAAACTGGATGACAACAACCAAAAAGAAACTTTAAACAAAAAAGCCCACAAGGAAACAAATTTTAATGAAAGTTGGATCTGCTTAGTGAGTCCATGTCTAGCACTAACTCAAAAAACTGAAGTATGCTTTCCAACGGGAGGCTCTACCTCCTGTGAGTGCTACTTGGAATGAGAGGAAATTTCAGTAGTGCATTAAAATCCCAGTTATCGGCCCGCAACAAAGAAGGTGAAGGGTGCATCCCAGAAGAGGCTTTATCAAAGGCAGAATAGAGAGCTGGCACACAATCTCCTTTGATGTCTAAGCCGTTTCCAGGAAAGAGAAAAGGAACTGGGTATTGTTCCCTTTTGTTTTCCTTCCCTTTTGCCCCCCCACCCCAAAACAGCTCCACAGAATCAAAGCAAAGCACTCTCCTCATCCTCTGAAATGGAACATTTCAATTAGCTAGCTGTGCTCTTCACAGAAACACTGTTAGTCAAAATAATCTAGTAATTGTTTTCCCTTTAGCTTTAATCTAACACTTTCAGTTTGTAACACTAGAAATCAAAGGGGTCTTCCTTATGCTTTAAGAAAATGTTTAATTCTTAGGTGAAGTAGCAAAGTCAGAATACACCGTTATCTTGTTAGCACTTGTTTCTGTGTACTGGTAAGCATTCTTCCAGAAGCCTCCCTCTGGGCTGGGGGGTGGGGGTCATGCCTTCCCCTCGGAAGCTCTGCCCCCCGAGATACTTGAATGCAATGCTGCCTACTTTGACTCATGCACCACACAAAGAGCATCTGGGCTGCTCTCCACCCAAGTTCCAGCTACTGACTCCCAACTCAGCCCAGCACACGGCAGTTCATCTGGCTCTAATCTGTGTATGAGTCTTCTCTTTACTCTCTTCCTAAGAACGGGTAAAGGAAACTTGACAACCATGACCTGGCTTGGTCAGGATCGTAGAGACATTAATAATGTCTGTGGCATACATTGGTACCGCTCTGTGTTTTCTAGAATACTTTTGTACGGGAGCTCCTGGAATCGGCCTCATAGGATGCCAGCCTGCTAACGAGAAATGTCAACAGCTGACAGGAAGAGGAACGGGTTGACATTTGGGAGTGAGTCATTCTAAGCATTCAGAGGTGCTAGAAGGGGTACCAAAGGGACTGTGAAATTCCCTCCCAGGGGCAAAGGAAGGAGGGGACGGTGGCTCTGGGGACTGTTTTAAATGCAACCCTGCATAAGGCCATGAAGTTGAAGGAGTTCCATCGTGGGTTCCTGTTAGTTCTGTTCTTCAAGTCTTGAGAAGAGAAAACAAAGCATAAAAAAAACCAAACCAGAAGCTAACCTCCAGGTTGCTATATATTCAGATTTTCACTTTTTAAAAAAATAAATCCACATGAGCTGCTAATTTGGATACTTCACCAATTACGGCAGCTTACCTCTCGGTTATAGTGATCTGTGGTAAACACCAGGTCAACTTGACATTCCTTCTTTGGATTAACCTGAGACATAGAAACAGAATCTTAGCCTAGTAGAAGCTCTGTTAACATCGTCCTATTGAAGAATCACTCTCGTGACATAGCATGGCATGCAAATGGTAGCTGTAGCATTTATAATGGAATAAAAGCAGTCCTTTTTTGCAAGGAGAAAAGATCTCAAATTTTGCTCTGATCATGATATTTTTTTTTCCTTTTTTTTTTTTTTTTAAAGATTTTTATTTATTTGACAGAGAGAGATAGCGAGAGCAGGAACAAAAGCAGGGGGAGTGGGAGAGGGAGAAGCAGGCTTCCTGCTGAGCAGGGAGCCCGATGTGGGACTTGATCCCAGGACCCTGGGATCATGACCTGAGCCGAAGGCAGACGCTTAACGACTGAGCCACCCAGGCACCCTCTGATCATGATATTCTGCTTGCTAGTGGGACACATACTCACAAAGGGGAGTTCAGAAGGGAAATGGTTGTATTGAGGGGGCCAGTTGGCTTTGTGAGAGCAGGCACGTGCAGGCCAGGCTGGCAGGAAGCACCTCTCCCTGCCCCACCCCGGGCGCCCGTGCATCCGTGCATCCGGGAGGGCGCTGGCCAGGGAGAGCCCGCATGCTGCTCACGGTCATGGTCAAGAGGGAAGACGGCGGCAATGGTGCACCCCATTATAGATAATGGGTTTTCAGATGGTGGTAAATGAAGAAGGGGGGATGGGCATTAGTGGCTACTTCCACCAAGGTGGCCGAGGAGAACACCCTGAGGAGGATGCCTCAGCTCCAACACACAGTAGGGAAGCAGCCACCCCTCAGACCTTGGGGCAGAGGGGACCCGCCACTGAGGCCGGAGGTCTAGGACAGGATGGAGTACCGACACTGAAGATCCTCAGATGTATGGCCTCTCCCTCGCTGGCAGCTTTCACCAGCGGGTGTACTTCTAAACTCTGGAAATGCACGTGTAGCCTTTTAAACTTGTCATCGATTCCAATGCATAGTTTTAGACTTGACAAAGCCATATCACTGAGGCAATTTCAACTGTTTAGAAGAACTTCATGCTATTTGCCATCAAGTTGGAAACATCAATTTTCTTTGAATCTTAGCCCAGGAACACAACAACCAAACAGGATAGTTTTGTTTTGTTTTTTTTTAAAGATTTTATTTATTTATTTTGACAGAGAGAGACAGGGAGAGAGGGAACACAAGCAGGGGGAGTGGGAGAGGGAGAAGCAGGCTTCCTGCTGAGCAGGGAGCCTGATGCGGGGCTCGATCCCAGGACCCTGAGATCATGACCTGAGCTGAAGGCAGACACTTAATGACTGAGCCACCCAGGCACCCCACAGGATAGTTATTTTAAATAGGCCAGATACCATCCATTCCTATTTTAGATCCTTAAACAATTCTGAAAAGCTGGAGAATGGAGGGCTAGGATTCTCTGGCAATCATTTATGCAAAGAATATTTAAACATGTGAGTGTAGAGATGTCACTGTGGTGGGGGAGGGGCTGAGGGGTGGGGAGCACCCAGAGCACAGCGCAGGGGTAGTTTGCTTAGGACTCATTTTCAATCTTGAAAAAGTTCTGGTGTAAGCTGCAACACAGATTTCAATTTACAGAATTCACACGCACCAGTCTGACTTCTCCTTCCTTCACTGTTCACCACCCACCCTGCCAAGCACGGTGTGCAGGATGGGATACAGAGAAATAGAACATCCAGTCCAGCCTTACCAGAGACCCCCTTCTACTGTGGCAACAGGCAAGTCACTAGAGACAGAGTGTTCATCAGTGTGGCCGAAAGCTGCACGTGTGCAGCGTGCTAAGTGTGGGGAGGGTACAGCAAGGGAGGCCTGAACTAGCTCTTTGAGGTGTGGGAATAGAGTACAAGGGCTGGCATTCCAGGGGAGGCAATGAAGCTAGAAAAAAGAATGTGGGGAGAATGGCACAAGGTCATGGAAAGCTTTTTTTTTTTTTAATGAAGAGGACTTGGAACTTGATCCTGAACTCAGAGGGGGAGGGAGGCCCCAGTAAACATAACTACAATACTTAAGGTGTTGGAAGGATAAGATATGGCATTAAAAGGGCTTAGACAGGGTCAGGGTAAAAGTTCAATGTATGGTCACTATTTTTATCATTAGTAAAATCTATAGACCTGAGGGAGAGAAAGAACTATGCTGGAAATTCGAGTCTGGCCCAAGTTCCAGGTTAGGGAAGAAGGGCAACACAGACTCAGGTTTGCTTTTACTTTGGTTTACTCCTGCCTGAAGCTCCCAATGAGTGGTTAACGGGTTTGAGATCTGCTCCAGGGTCACTGGATAAGGCTCTCTATGGCCTCAGTCTCCGAGACTCCTGAAGTTTGGGGTCTTTGCTTCCCGAGTCAAAGGAACACAGGAATGATGGGCTTGCTGCCTGTGACTCCCCCACCACACTGGGACCCACCAAGAACTAGTACTCACAGAATGCAGCCCCTCTGCTTGCCAGTAGGTTCTAAGCCTTGAATCACTTGTTGCACCAGCCCTGGGGCCCTCTCACCTGCTACATGCAGGACCTTTGCTTGCATCCACTTCAAGGCCCCCCTTGAGTGTAGGCCTCCTACACAGGAGTCAGGGACCCCCTCAGGCTGCTAGTTAGGGGGTGGGCAGGATGGGTAGTGTGACCATTCGTGAGGAGAGAAGGGGGAAGCAGAGTTGGTAGGTACAATCTCTGGTGCCCAGGAACGAGGGAGAGAAGTCCAGAAGGCAGCTGGATGTTATAGGAGATTCAGTGGAGTGGTCGAAGCCACAGAAATGGATGCAACCCCCCAGGGAAGATCTACTTGTACATAGAAAAGAATCCTGAGGACCACCAACCTTCATATCAATAATACATTGCGGAGGGGGGGGGTGCTTACTTGCCATAGACAAGGATTCACAAAAGTCTTCCTCATCCTTGATACAACTGGGCGTATTTTAAATAAACTACTTAGGATAGTATTTGAAAACAGTTTTTTGAAAACACACAGAGGCAAAATGAAGCATCAGTATGTACTCTTTGTAGGGAAAGAAACAGAACTCGATTAACAAAGGCTGTGAGCTGAGTCAGAATGGAGCCTGGCCTTTTGAAGAGTTATTTTCCTTGCTGATTTGATTTCCTTATTTTAATCAGGCACCCTTAAAAGCATCTACATTTTGTCCAAAATAAGATTTTTGTATTTTGGGTTGTGCTTTATCAGTTACCAAGACGCAGAGCTTTTATCTCCCACAGGGGCCTCTCCCTTCTTCCTTGCCTGAGTCACAAGCCCCTGTGAGGCCGCTTTGCCGGTCCTCCCGAGATAAGGCCCGCGAGCCGCGCCAGCCAGAGTCCGCTCCGACTGGGACGGTGTCTCGGTGCAGGACCGTGTTCCCCTCTGGCTATCTTTGATTACAACTGTTCTGCAGTAAAGAGGCCTCGGCGGTTGGACACCCCTCCGCAGTACTGGTGGAGCTCAGAGAGCTGTGCTAGGTGCTGGAACACGGGGCGACCGGACAGTGGTAGCCTGCACCCTCCGCACAGTGGGGGGGGAGGGGCGCGGGGAGAAGGACTTCAGAGAGATCCCTGTGGGACTGAAGATTTGATTACAGATGACTGAAGAGCTAGGAAAGGATAACTGGAGGACTGATCCAGTCTCAGGACCAGGGTCAGTGACCCCTAAACTGAACTGTGAAGATTAAGAAGGAATTGACTTGGGGGGTTGGGGGGGGTGGGGACAGCGGTGCAGGCAAATCATTCCACAGGGAAGGAACAGTGGGGAGGAAGTTCCCCGAGGAGCTGCCAGTGGGGCCAGAGGGCGGAGAGACAGACCAGGATAAGGAGGGCCCGGCTCACAGGCGATGGTGAGGATTTTATCATAAGAGAAATAGGAAGCCACAGACAGGAGAGATTTTTAAGAGTCCTCTAGCTGGAGTGTGGAGAGCTGGAGCTGGAGTGAGGAGGTGTTCAGAGTGAGCACAAGGCACAGAGACTGCAGGAGGCGAGCGGAGGGCCATGGAAATGGAGAGAAGTATACGGTGGACAGATAGGAGGGCTACAGAAGGTAACAATGAATGTAATTCAAGGGCAGAAATAACCTCTAGAATGTAAGTTTTATATTAGGACATTATTACACCAACCATCATTTAAATGATGCTTCTATTTAGAGAACAACAACAGATACCCTAGTGGGTCTGTGCTGGGTACAGTTCTGAGCACTCCACATGTCCTAACTATGCTAACAGAGCTCCGAAGGCCGGTTCAGACTCATGAGCAATCCTCTGACTAATGCAAATTAAAGAAGCCCTGAGGTATCGCTGTACAACTATCAGAATGGCAATAAATTAGAAAGTGGTTAGGGCCAACTGTGGGCCAGGTCTGGGGGCTGATGGAGAGTAGTCCGGTGCAGCCTGGCTGACGTGGTCACATCAAGCTTACATACGCCCTGCAAGCTAACAAACCCACCGCTGGGTACGTATCCCAGAGAAACCATGACGCTGGTTCCAGGGGACTCATAGGAGGAGGTTCCTTGAGGCACCGTATGTGTAGTGGGAGTTGGAGGCAATCTGGTGTCCATCCCTGGAGGGTGGGCAGGTAAAATGGGGGTGCCGGCCACAGAGTGCCATGGGCGGGGGGGGGACAGGTAGCAAACTAGCTGACATACAGCAATGTACATAGATCCTAAAGGCTGTGAGTGAAAACAGAAACAGACAAAATGTATAGCATAAAACGATTTACAAAAAATTGTTTAAAAGTTTGCACACAAACCCAACAATATCTTTTATAAGAATACTGACAAACAGATGAATACACATCAGACTTTTTTGAGTGGTGGCCCATGGGAGGGTGGGGGTGGAATGGGAATGGGGATAAAAGAATAAATTCCAGAAGGAGCCTCCATGGACCAAAGACAAAAATGGTCCCCGAAATGAGGCGTGGTCCTCCCTCAGCTTTGCACCTGGGACCAAGACCACATGAACAGGCTTTTAAAAAGATAAAAAGTCATTTAAAAATGTTAAGTCTAAAGTAACTGAGCATGGATGTCTT